ACCCTATTTATAGGGAACTGAAAGCATACAAAAAATATACTAAGGCATTTACTCTAAAGCTTCGAATAAAAGCACCCTAGTAAAATACATTACAAAACATTCGAAGATTCCAAAACATACTTCGACTAATTACAACAATTTGACCCTTACACTATCAGTAACTGGGAATGGCACCTTTTGACTCATTAAATATACAACATCTCAACAATCCCCCTTATTTAATTATGTCAACACTAAATATACTAAATAAAGAACACTTTATTGAATAATAACATAACTTTTCAAAAACAAACATACAACTTCAGGAAGATATACGATCAACAATGTTATAACTCATCATATCCATCTCGTTGGTTTATTTAATGATTTTTCCACAACAAGTGATAGTTTATTTTATTTCCTTTTTTATAGTTTATTTTAGATCTTTTAGCCCTTTTTATATGTATTGCATTGTATATTCTTTATTTTCTTTATCATGGATCGTGTCGGGTACTTTCTATTTCTCATGAGGTATTTTAAAGGGTTTTGGAGCTCGTTGCAGTTGTGGATTAGCTTGGAGACGGGCTTTGTGGGATTTAGAGGCACCATTAGGCTTTACGGATCCATCAAAGGAGATTTGGGCTTACAAAGTTGAAGACTTGGATGAAGTGGGCTTATGAAGATGGGTCTTGGATTCTTATTTTGGGCTTAGACTATCCGCATTTGAAACTTGAAGATGATTGGCCAAATTTGAATCATGTGAGGTGTGGAGGGGACCAAGGGAATCTTGGGTAGTGGGGTGGTGTAGTGGAGAAAAAAAAGTCAATAGCATTTCAGCATCATTTGCAAGGGTGGAGTCTCAGCCACGCAAATCTGCGAGGGTACCCGCACAACTGCACACTTTGGGGCATTTTGGTCATCTTGCTCACCATTTTACCTTGGGGGTTAGGTTTGGCGGCCATACTTTGATTTTCCACCATTAGATCACTATGGAGGCGATTTTGGAGAGCTTGTCGACATTCTTCTCATCTTTCTAAGTAATTGTTAGTTTTTTTGACGCAAAAACACTTTTGTGATTGTTATCTTGTTGCCATGAGTGGCTAGTTTATTTATTTTGGTTAACTTTGGCTAAAACCTTTGGATATTTGTGGGTTTTGAAGGATTCATGCTTGATTTTCATTTATCTTATGTTTATGATTCTAGTTCATATCTCTTATGCTTGTTTAATACTTTGATCATGAGCTTGGTACTTGAATGAGCAATTGTTGGTTTATTTCTTTGGTTTAGCATTGAATCATTTAATTTACTTGGAACAAGGGCTTTATGATGGTAGAAATCATCTCTAGCTTATGGATCATAACTCCTTTATGGATGTGTAAGCATTGACATCCTCTAGGAATTGGGGATTCCTTCATTCTTAAGGCTAATCAACTTTCTTGGGTTCAATTGGTTCAATTGAATCCTTGATTTGGATTAAGAAGGTGTGTTGTGGGATTCCCCAACCTCCATACTACCTATGAGAAATCTTGGCATATCATGTTTCATGATTTTTATAACCAATTTGGGATGAATGATAAGCTTCATATTGAATCATAATGATAAACACACAAATGTTCATTGTGTTGAATTGCCTTGGTTGACCAATTCTCTCCAATATTTGAGCATCTCACCATCTTGCTTAATTGCAAGCTTTTCAGTTATTCAAGTCTTTTAGTTTTCAAGCAATCACAAAATCCCCCCTTTTAGTTTAATTGTAGTTGGTTAGTTTTATTACACTAGTTCTATTGGATTACATTGGTGATTGAATACAACCACTTCCCCGAGGATCGATACCCATTTTTATCATTATATTACGTTTTATTTGAAAACAAAGAGTGTAATTTTCTTGGTGGACTTGACATGCCACAAACAAGAAATAAGACTTTTAGCGACGACAGACGCTTTTTGCGACGACACCATACAAACGCGCTTTTTTTCTCCACTAAAAGCGTTTGTCGTTGCTAATAGTGACATCGCTAAAACTCAGCCATATGTGATCCTAGAGTCCTACACAAATTTGCATTGTCACCGTTCGTTCATAAATGATACGTCAGTTAGGGTTTCACTTCTCTTTTAAGCAGTAGAGGCGAAGCAATTGCGACGACATGTCGTTGCTAGTAGTGTCGATCCGTGTGACCACACCAGAAGAAATTGTGACCCTACGTTTTTCCCATATCCAACGACATACAACCACGTAAAAAAGGCGCGTGTTTTTCCCTCCAACATGTCCCCACTATTGCACTAAAGTCGCCCGAAAAGGGGTCGCCGCAAAAGGTGTCGTCCCTTTTGTTCTCGTCTTCGTCCCAGATCACCATTGTTGCAACCTCTTAATTTCTCTACACCATCTCCGACGACTACACGACTTCACCGGCAAATAGCGGCGATTTTCACCGGTTGGCGACTAGAGCAGTTCACCCGCGGCACCACTTCCCTTCACTCCCACTCACCTCGCCGGAAAAACATCACTCGACAAAACTGAGCTTTTCTGGCCATCTCCATCAACGTTAAGGTACTCGAAATCTTACCTTTCTCTTTTTCGTTCTCTTCTGGCCCTAATTTCTAATCTAATTTCATCAATTTTGATGTTTCCGGCAACCACCACATTCACAACACAATCAGATTGTTCATTTCTACGCGGCAGGTGCATTTTTCCGGCCAAAGTTAATTGTATATGTATGTGTTTGTAATTGTATATGCATGTGTTTGTATTTGGTAGGGTATAATGTCAATATGTGTTTGTGTTTAGTTTTCACCCATGATTTTATAGTTTTTTTTGTATGATTTTGCAGTTTTTATGTATGATTTTTTTTTATTTTGTTTTTTTTTGTGATCAAAGTATATATGTGTATTTGGTAGTGAATTGATCAAAAATTGTTCATATGTTTTTTTGCATATGATTTTTCCTTGATTTAGGTTTTTATTGTCAAGTATGAAATTAGTAGTATGTAAAACGTGTATTTGGTATTTGGTATGTCTATATATATGTAAAATGTATATTTGGTGAATATGTGTATATATGTATATTTGGTGATCACCATGGAGGTGAGGGTGGTGACGAGCCACCACATCCGTTCCATGGAGGTTTTGGTGATCACCAGATTGATGGTAATTAAGATTTATTCTAATTCATTGTATTTCATATTGTATGTATATAAAATATTATCTTGACTAAAAAATTTTTATGCAACGGTGGCTCCAAAACGAAGAGGCATGTAAGTTAATAAAAAATGTACGAGTTATTTGCAGCTAAAGGAGAACGGCCTATGAAGATAACATTTGACATAAATACTAACATGCTGATTGGGGAAGTATACGAATGTTTCATTCGGGAGGTTGGGAGCTATATGTGGCGCGACATTGCTTTCGATAAGGACACATGGAAAGAAGTTTCTGAAGCCGAAAGGGTTGGCATGTTCCAGTATCTTTCGGTAAATTATTTATAAACTTATATTTAATATGTTTAATTTTGATTTATTTTTAACTTCTCTATTTTTTTGTAGACATGGTTTGATTTTGGAGCGAATTCAAATGATCCCATGGCTTCAATTTATTGGGCGTCACTAAACAATCGAATATGCGCACGGCATAGAGGCTGCGAACATACTGTAAAAACTCGTTTTACTGATTTTGAATGGGATGTGGAGGCAACAAGGGTTCAAGCCCTTGATGGTATGGATCTGCAGCTTTGGAGTGATGTTATTGACCACTTTTTAACAGAAAAACATCAAAAACGATCAGCTGAAAACAAAGAATGTCGGAAGAAGCAAGTAGTTCAGAACCGTGGAGGGACACGCAGCTACGATAGTGCTTGTTTTAAGAACGTAAGTTACAATAATGTTTATTCAGTTATAACATATTTTCTATGTTTATTCAAGTATCACATATTTTGTAATGTTAAATAGAATTTGAATAGACTTGAAGCACTTCATCATGCGTATGTGAATAAAAAAGGGGGAATTTGTTGATCCTTTAGTTGAAGACCAATACATAAGTTATTATTACTTAAAAATGAAGTAGATTGTTGTCTTTTTTGTGTTACTTTTAATGTATATTGACAATCTTTGTGAAATACAGAATGCTTTAGTTGTTTAGGTTGCTATACAGACTCATCACATAGTCGACTCTGGTGGTGATGCAGACTATATTGATTGGATCGCAATATTTGAGAAGGTGTTAGGTGCTCGAAGGGGATGTGTGAGAGGCATTGGGCCTAAACCTCCTTCTGCAGCGGGTACAAGTGCTTGATCCCAATGGCAGTCACAGTCACAAGCATCGCAACCAACACATGCACTTATTAAACTTTTAAAGAATTTGGTAGATTTGCTATATTGTTAAAAACTTGATGCATTTATAGTAATTTTTGGTAATTCGGTAGTTTGGTAGTTTGTTAAATTGTTAAAGACTTAATTGATTTGGTGGTTTAATAATTTGTTAAATTGTTAACGGCTTAATTCATTCGGTGGTTTGATAGTTTGTTAAATTGTTAATGACTTAATGTGCTTGTGACTTAATTGTAGGATGTTGATGTGAATGTTTTTCTTCAAACGCCGGCATTTGTGACGGCAATTGGAGATATTATATGCTTGTTTAAGAACCAAGTCAACAACGAGGAAAACAAAGATGGGGAAGGCGAAGACACATAGTATTTCTTGTTTTATGTTATTGATGATGTTATTTTAGATTTATTAGATAGTTTATGGATGATATATTTGATGTTTATTTTGGATTTATTAGATACTTTATGTAATATGGTATATTTGATGTTTTATGTAATGTGGTATGTATTGATTTCTCTATTTTTATCAAATTTGTA